ATGGTTCTTTTTCTGGCCATTTAACCCATCAAATCAAATTGTTAAGTAGGGATGTTAAAACATTTTATTTGCTACCTTTAGTTCAAACGTGGTATTTTCCCTAATACCTTTTAAAAAAATACTCTTCCTCTCCCACCTCATGACCCTTACCGAGGCCCACAATCCCTGCAGGACCTCTGCGTGCCCTACAGCCATGCCAAAGGCCCACCCGGGGTCTCTGGCGCCCCCAGCCGGACGGGGTCGCAGACACTCCTGCTTGAGCAGCCCCGGGGCGGTCAGATTAGAGTCGGACTGGGCTGGGGCAGATCTGTGTTTACCAGACATTTCTCAAGGCTTGGCTGATGTAACTGCCACCCGCATCAGCCTTCCTTGGGGAGAATGACGACTGTACTTGTTTTTGCCCTCTTGTTAAAAATGCGGAATTATTTCTGTATTTTCAAGTGTCTTTCTTTTCCTTCTGTGCGTATCGCAGAAAAAGCCGGAGCCCTGAAGCTGCGCTGGTCTCTTACCTCCAGGGCAGCCACCAGTTTCCTCTTGCTCCTTGGTCCTCTCTTCTGTCTGTTTGTTTGTTTTTAGTATGTTTAGTTGTGTTTTGCAAACATTTCTGTTCAATGCGTGTTTGAAAAGCAGATCCCCCGCCCCGCGCTCCCTGCGGGCGCCTCCCACCCTCAAACCTCCGAACCGGTGGGTGTCACCCTGAGTCCTGGGGGCATGTGGGTGACACCCGGGGGCGCTGGGCTCCCCCGACCCCCAGCCTGTCCAGGGCCGCGAGCGCCTCCAGTTGGGGCACTTCTGGGGAAGAGAAAGGAACCGCCCGAACGGTCGTGGAACTTTCCGGTTGCCGTTCCTCCCGGACCTCAGGGTCCCCGGGCTCCCCCGGGGCGGGCGTGGGCAGCCAGGTCACAGATGGTCAAAGGTCCGAAGCCTCAGGGAGCGGGGAGCGGGCCGAGGTCCCGGGACGCGCAGACACCTGCGGCCTCTGGCGAGGCGGGCGGTTCCCCAGCCCTGGCGCCTCCTTAAAGTCTCGGCTCCGCCCTGCC